TCTAAAACGTTCTATTATAGCAATGATATATGAGTTTAAAATAACTTAATGTCTCCTCTTTACAGGCCAATTAACGCGAATTTTAATTAACAAAAATCTGAGGGCATCGTAAGTGAAATGATAATTAAGTTAAATTAACGCAATGTAAAATGCTCTCTGACCCTATAGTACATCGGCAAAAGCCCGCTTAATTTTGTTTAGCGCTAAAAGGGGCTTCAGCACTATAATGAGATCTCTCTGTCTGATAATTAATTGACATTCTCCTGAATATTCATGTGCGTTATCGCCAATACGCTGCTAATTGCACCGCAGAGCGGATTTCAGGAAATGAATTCACCATGGACTTCATTAAGATACTGTAGGCGTGTCAGATGCAGGCAAACGGCAGCGAAGGCACCTGGAAAGGGACAGATCTGTACTTGCCGAAGTGTGAAAGTAGAGTTTTCACTAAGCCTCATTGGTACAAAACACACGATGTTCACAAGCAGCTACGGCAAGAAGGTGTGAGTGAAGGTGACGATTTTAGGGTGACATGATGTGTAGCCTACTGTGAGAAAGCTGGCAATATTTTAACAAGTTAGTTTGCACTGTTCGTGTGAAACACAAACATTTTCTCCGGAATATGAAAAAGTTATGAGGAACTTTCGTCTTTTCGGAAGAACAATCAAGAATTCCGAAACAATTCCGAAATTATTTAATTCCTATATTATTATGCTTAATAGCAAAATTACGACTGGTAACATGCCGACTGATCATCATGGAGCAATTAACATGAGATAGCGGTACAAATTCTTATTATTAATTATTATATGGATATTCATATAAAATGTAATGTACAGTTACAAGTCAACTTTTGATTATTCTAGTAAAAAAATTTAGTGGAGTTTAGTCAAAGGTTTTAATTGCGTGTGTATACAAATGTTTGTATTAACAATGTAAATTGAACCGCCAGCAGTTGCAATTTGTTTATTCATTAGTTCTTTATAAAATCTACATTGCCTGCAGATACAGTGGGCTAATAATGCTATGAAATACACATCCAGCTTACAGTGAGCTCAGCGGGACCCTGGTTTCAATAACAAGGTGACAACAGATTTAAAGGGCAGAACGTAGCGTTCCGTAAAAGATCAAGGGTGGGCGATCACGTGACGCAGGGAGCTCGAACGAGGCGTTTTACTGACACAGGTGACCTGAATAAAACGGACCACTGAAATGTTACATATGCTAAGCGATACACATTAACATGTCATTAATTAGCTGTTTGTTCTTTTTTTACACTTAAATTGTGAAGTGGAATAGTATTTTACTTCTCAACATCACATTTAATGATAATGCGGCTATTGAATACAATTGTTCGGTATCAAAACAAACTTTTTAGATTTTATACGTGGTAAACAGTTTCCCTCATATTATGCAGGCTACAGACAAAGACAAAAACACATTTCTTTAGTCAAGAAAATTTTGGTCCAACTTTTAACGTTTAAATTTCGGGACTTAAATTACATAAATAAACAAATTAACGCCGACGTTAAGTTGTTATTAATTATTTATGCTAATTTATTAGTACAAAAGAGAATCGCTCCCTACAATTCTGTAAATAAACAAGTAAAACAAAAAGATTAAAATGCACCTTTTTGTTTGCATTAATCACACTTCTGAGTTCGAAGCGCTCTTACAGATTTTGTATAAAGCTACCTTATTTTTGCATACAAAATCACTGGCGATGACAAATACATGTTGATTCTGCAGATTTTTTTTGCTAACTATATTTCTTTAGTTACCCATCAATCTTTAAGTGCGCAACACCTGTAGTGCATGTTTTAACAATTTTTAAAATAAATCATGTATGTACTTCTGAATATAGGCTTTATTATTTTTTAACTTTCATTTGGATTATTATTATTACAGTGCAGCCCGTAATAATTTACATGATAATCTATAGAAGGTTATTTTATTCACGCAGCTGGGTGGCAGTGTATCCGAAACTGATTCAGTTTTGACAATGTTGTTTTAGCTATCATTTGCTGCTTTAGAGTGAATGGCAGCGATCCTCTTTTTAACGACATTTGTTTCCTATTGTGCGGAGGTGCAGCAGTTGAGGCAGACGTGTGAAAGTGGCTGTTTGATTCTCTTTTTCATCCCCGTGACCTCAGCTTTTGTGTCCCATCACCCTGGGAATGTCACGCCTCACTACTTTACTTTGAGAAGCTTCAGAAAGTGCTTTTGTTTTTTCCTTTTTTTTTAAAGACACACACAAAATTGTTCTCAGTCCCCCTGCTGTAAAAGATACTTCAGATAGAAGCTCGGTTCACAAGTGCAATGCAATTTGGCTTAGCCCAACCTTTGTTCAGCTTGTACAAATGACCAAACAGTGCACACATTATACAGTTGATCTACTGCTGCCTTAACACAGGGCTTCGGTTGCTGAGAGAAAGGCGAGTTAATCTATTCAGAATCATGGTGGCATTTTCAGTGTGCCTTTCGCATAACACAATGGCCACGGCCCGGCGTGAAAACGCAGAAAAGTAAGAAAAACCGGCGGCGCTCACACGCTGCACAGCCTGTCCCCATCTCAATTGGTTAAGCGTTAAGTTAAAGACAAACCGGGGCATGGCAGCTGTTTTGGGATCTAACCGTAATAACAAACAAACAAAGTATAGGCCTAAAAACACACGAAGAGATAACCGCATTGTGCGCTCCTATTCGGAGAAATACGAATATAGCCATAGCACAAGATGATTACAAATTAACATAACAAACATTAGTTTATTTAGATTCGATTAAACTATATAGCCATTAGGAAATCTGGATTAGACTTGTGGAAATAATTTATGAAATGAATCTACTTCTTGCCTTTGAAAAAACAGAATGCTCTTCATTTGAAATAATTATTACAGACTATAAATATGACATTTGTCAAACATGAATGTATTGTTTTGTTTTATTTAGTTTATTGTAATGTCTAATTCGAATTTCAGCAGGTGAAATGAAGGAAACATAAGGGATAAGCAGTATAATCGGTAAACAACAGGCACATATGCAGTCTTCAAGTATTAGATTACATTAAATCCAAATAAAAATAAATAAATGTATCCGTGTATTTTTAAATCCGAATGTGTCCCGTTATGGGACGAATACTTGCACTATCACACATCATTCGGCTCGTTTTGCGTTGGTTCCCAGAGGCTGTCGGACCGCTTTGGTAAAGCTCGCGTGAAAAGCCTGGGAAATTGAAATCCTTTCCGCGGTTTCTGTCAATACACAAAGAATGACAAGAACATTTAAAATGCATTTAGTACAGGAAAAATAAATAAATAACGCATAGCGGCATGACACTGAGTCAATTTTCTAAACTCAATAGTCTGAGCAAATGCTTTGGCAGCCGAAAAAATAACAACATGAGACGCTGATTTTTTTTCCCTCCAATTTTGTAAATATAAATAGTTGTGGAACTTTTCCTTCTTCTTCATTATGCCCCCCACCCCTATATAGACACACACACACAAACGCGCGCACACACACACACACACACATTATTGTCGGACACCCCCTATCGTAAACAAGAATAACGACAGCGTTTCCCATGAAACTGTCTCATATGTTACGTCTAAAACATATTTGCATCTCAGTCAATAATATGTTTATCATCTGCCCATTTCCTATCTGAATGTTTTGGGCTCTCGCTGAAGCGCATTGTAGATTTATGGAAGGAAATTTGCATAAATTATGAGCAAATCCGTGAACGTGTGTGGTCCTTCTTAGAGCAAACTCGCCAAGCAGAAAGGTGGCCCTTGGTGAGCTTAGAAAAAAAGAGGGCTGAATGCCCATTGCTCAAAATAGGCGTCCATTTGGTTTTCACATTCATATAATTGACTTATGGGTATTTTATACAGTTTTCACAACGCTGACCTAAATAGTTTATTTGCATTTGTGAAGTACTTTTCAACTTGCTTAACATAAAATTACAAAGATCGGTTAGCCTGATGAAGTTTCGTAAGTTCGGCTCTCCTCGCTTTTGTATATATTTCGAGTACATTTTTCGTTTAAGCCGTTACTCAGTTGAATATGTCATATAGCCGAATAAAATGCAACAAAATGCAAACATGCATACTTCGCATCCATTTTTCGTAAGTTCTTCCGGACACATGAGGAACATTTTACTTTTAACTTTCACTTTTAAATGTAACGTGAAGGCAGTATTATACTAATGAAATCGCGCACAAAACAATTAAAAGCATCATAAACAACGTATGTCATAGGACAAAAATGTGTATGCCGTGTACATGCTAAATTATCACATTCTAAATTTTGGTAGCCATGCAAATGTGAATATAATCATTACACAATCATCTGATTTAAGTATGCTAATGTGCACAGAAATTTTTGTTTTCAGATGCATAAAAACAGTAACAGTGGGTTGTCTTGATATAGCGAAGTTTAATCGTCGATTTTATTAATATTATTTAGTACTGCTGTTATTTATCCGCACATATGCATTCGCAGCGAAGTATTACAATCTTGATTCTAAGGTTTTCCAACAAAGAATAAAAACTTAAAATATTTTTGTCCCCGCTATATTTTGGACTGCATTTTGTTTTTCTATGCGCCGAAAACCTGCGTAAAACACAAAGGTTTAGTATGTGTTTATTTATAACAAGCTTTCGAATATTAAATATATACAAACAATGTTGATAGTTACTCATAGAAAGACTGAATGTCACTTTATGACGGCCATTCAACATGCCTCGCTCCGTTACGTGATTGTGAACATCTACAGTTTTTAACTCACGGACAAGAAACATGTCTAAATAATGTTTCCTGATAGCAATCATATGGCAGCAAAAATACTACATTGACAATACTGAGCAAACAGCCAATGCCGACCAATTTCCATGTCAAACATCCCGTAGCTTGCTAGCCCCATTTGTAAGTGTGAATTGTAGACTAAGCACCCTGCGAAGTCCACAGAAAGGTTAGCGCATACCTTCACACACTGTTACTGGGTGCCATCACACTTCAATTCCGGTTGCTGAGCCTTTTCACCCCTTTGCTCTGTCTTCAAATGGAAATGATTTCTATTGGCCCAAGGTGTCCATGTAAATAGGTGTAAATGAAACCAGATTATGCCTTTCTCTCAGCCCCCTCCTCCCAAGGCGATTGTCATGTGATAGCGAAGAAGTGGCACATTAATGAAGCGCCTCTACAGGGGTCTTTTCTGCTCATGTCACCACATAAAACTATCAGATGGTTAGAGGAAGGACATGGATGCAGCTACTTAGCTCATCTTATCAAGGACGGGAGAACAGATCTGCCCCATTCAGCTTGTGGGAAAAAGGAGGCTTACCGGCGCTTGCTTAAGTAAAGATCACAGCTCGCCTGAGAAAAGCAGACTGTTTTCTGAGGACGTCTTCCAGCAACTGCAGACTCCGAGCTCCGGAATCGCTCCCCTGCTTACTTTACCAACTTTCTGCAAGTTTCACCGTTTGGGAAACGCAATTTCGCGGGTGCGTTGAATAACAGTTACATTTATGTTTACTAATCGAGCTGGGCGAGCCACATAAAATATTGGAAGACTGAGAGTACTGAACTGATTTTTTTAGAAATCATCCAGACCCGAGGACGCCGCCTTGCCTTCAGATTTGCTCGTGGAAGATGCCTCGACCCGGGAGAAACACATACAGCGACCAGAAGCCACCTTACTCGTACATTTCTCTAACTGCCATGGCTATCCAGAGCTGTCCGGAGAAGATGCTACCTCTAAGCGAGATTTACAAGTTCATAATGGACAGGTTCCCGTATTACAGGGAGAACACGCAGAGGTGGCAGAATTCTCTGCGACACAACTTATCCTTCAACGACTGTTTCATTAAGATCCCGCGGCGGCCGGACCAGCCGGGTAAGGGCAGTTTCTGGGCTCTGCACCCTAGTTGTGGCGACATGTTTGAAAATGGGAGTTTTTTGAGGCGCCGTAAACGCTTTAAGGTGATGACGACATCAGACCACTTGGCACCCAACAAGCCCTCGGACGCTGCCCATTACCTACAGCAGCAAGCCAAACTCCGACTGAGCGCGCTGGCGGCCACTGGCACCCACCTCCCGCAGATGTCCAGCTATAACTTAGGGGTGTCCCAGCCGTCAACCTTCAAGCACCCATTTGCCATCGAGAACATCATTGCAAGAGAATATAAGATGCCGGGAGGACTCGCGTTTTCCACGATGCAGTCGATGTCCGCTGGTTATCCCCTGCATAACCAGCTGACGACAACGTGGCCCCATATGTACAGTACCAGCGTGATAGACACAGCAGCTCCTATTTCAATGGCCAGTAGTGACTACAGTGCTTATGGCATGCCTATTAAATCTCTCTGCCACGGTGGGCAGACATTACCTGCCATCCCGGTGCCAATAAAGCCCACGCCGGCCTCGGTGCCTGGTCTTTCCGCACTGCCGGCGCATATCCCGGCGTTCCTGTCGAACTCTCCCCAGTCTCTGAGCCCCACATCCCCGCAGACAGCTACCAGCCAAAGCAGCCCTGCCACCCCGAGCGAGACCCTGACAAACCCGTCTTCTGCGTTGCAGTCGGTGGCGGTGCACTGACAACCGCAAGGTTTCCCTTTCTCCTTTTTTGGGACTTGAAAACTAGGCCTACGGTTTTTACCACTTCCAAAGCTGTATTTTTATTGTCAACCCATGACAACTAAACACCGAACAAAACTCGTCTACAATCGTCAAGGCAAGATATTTGTGATTTGCAGTAATGTTTATGTATATGTATCTTAACTTTAATGTGCAACTTCTAATGTTAATGTCATAACATGTTTGAGTATGGTTAGATAGTGTCATGTTTGTTTTCGGCGCACATATAATTTAATACTCTTTTGCAGGTGCTCTAAGATCGTGTTGTTACTTTTGAGGGGTGATTGCTTATACGTTTAAAGTACTGCAAGCAGTTTCTTTATTCTCATACGTGGCGTTAACAAGTTAAAAGGTACTAATTGTTAGGATGGTTGGCGAATGTTTTAATGCAAATTCGAAATACTTTAATCCAGATCATACCAGGCTTCATAGTAAATATATTTTCGATAGTCAGTATTGTTGAAATAACCATTAAGGATTATTTACAGACGTATTCCCTGTTTATTGCGGACAGTTGCTTTCTAACACAAGCAGTAGTCACGTTATTGGAAACAAACAAATGCAAGCAAAACCAAGTACGGTTCAGCGACAGTTCGCTGAAGTTAATCTAAATTTCCAATTTACAAAAGTAATAACACTTTCAAAGCCCACAGAATGCTCGTTGCATTTGGTATACCAAATACCTAGTTATTAGCTGTGTTAATATTGATTATATTAAAATGAACAATCACAGATATTACGTTTTAAAACTCTCAGACTTGAAATATATTCACTTAAAAGGCACGCAAGGTGTTAAGTACACTCGAAACTGATATGAATTATTGCAAATAGGGGATATTAAAATGTGTAAATGCACTTTTTAGTAAAATGTTTTAGATTATCTGTAGTTTGCAGAAAAATTTTGGTCTGTGAACCATTTAATTTAAAAGCTGTGGTGACCATGTGTAATAAATGCTGTAAATTTGTACGTTTCTGTATAGATAAGCATGCTATTTCCAAATTTTGTGTTGTTTTTGCTGCAAGCATGCGTGCTTTTAAAAAGTGTGCGACGTGTCTGCAATAAATTATAAACCTGGTCATCAAAATATTTTCTCATTAAAAGTTGCGTAAATGTAAAATCATGGGTTGTGTTTTCTGTTAAATTACCATTTTCATGTTATGCTATGGATCTGTCCGAATTTTATTTATAAAATGGACCGAGCAGGTACACGCGACACAGGCGTGCGGGAGAACATAAAGGAGTTAAACCTTCCTTAGTAATGGCTTACATAATTTATTAAAATTCTTTAACTATTATTAATATAGCATGCGTGTTTTACTATTGCATAACCTAAAACAATAGTAGGCCTTCGAGCGTTAACTTTCGTAACGCATATCTTTAATATAGGCCTAGTTCTTTAGTTTGTTGTAATATGATTTTTTTTCTATTTTTCCTGTTTCAGCTTTGGACAGGTTGATGTCGAAGAGTCACGTATCGTCGTTTTAAAATTAGATGTTATTTATAAAGCTAAACGAGGCTAACGGTCTCCCGCAGAACAACACAAGGATCACCTTTCACTGCGCTTCGAAAAATACACTTATGACACGTCACCGGTAATATCATGAAGTGCGAAAGTGCAGTTTAACAGGTAGTGATACTATATTAGCACTTTTTGAGAAATGCGATGTAAACTGTCACACGGTCAAGTCACTGAATCCCTCAGCAACACTCCAGGGATGGAAATAAATAAATCAAGCGGTTGATTAAAATGCATGAAGTTACCATGCTACGGTCACAGCGCGGACAACCGGGTTCATTCATCACGCTCCATGCACGCGATCACTCCGAGAAAACGCTACAAAGGAACTACATTATACAAGTTATTTTAAAAAATTTAATACATTTGCAACGATCTGTGTATATATTGATGTTATTATATCAATATTTATACAAGATGCACAAATTGACCTAATCGCATACATTTCAAGGATGCAATTATATTTTATTAGAATGTGTAGGCTGTATGTACTAAAATCCCAAAATAAAGATATGTCTAAAACACGAAATTATAATCTTTGCACGCACACACAGGCCTATATATGCGTGTATATTTCTGTTTTCTCAGATGCGCCTCCACAAAAAATCTGTTATACAATGTCCTCAAAAATACGCATTTAAACGTGCAAAGGATCCCTTGTCGAAGACGAAAAAGGTTAGACATATATTTTAAATTAGCAAATAGATAACATATACAAAAATTCAAAAAGGTCATATTATTACGTGTTGATAACAGCACAGAAGCGGGACTCCCAGACCGCCTGCGGAGTGTTTGACTGTAGCTCTAGAGCCCACTGTTGGAATTCACATTGGGACACATCTGTTTTATTTGCATGTAAACTGCGCTCAATACGTCCTCAAACACAAAACAAGGTATGAAATATGCTTGCTGGTCGACATACATGCACCACAAACCCGGAGTCCCCGTAAACCTTTCACCGCGAAAAGCAATCGCCCATCTTGAAGTATTAAACAAATATATTAGAATTCCGTCACTTTATGCAATTGAGTGGATCAAATAAGGGGTCCAGGGCTACTTCATTCACTCTTATTCACTTGAATAGAAAATGCAAAGAATAGCAAACTTAGACTGGGCCACCGATGTAGATTTTGCCTTTTTTCTAAGAGACAAAAAGACTGATTTTCACAAACACATTGCTGACTGGGGGACTAGGAAACCAGTTCTGAGACCCCTTTGGAATTTAAATTCTACACCCCCCCCCTTTTTTCCCCTGTCGAGTCTGTTTGCACAACAGTGCGAGCATTTTTGGTAAAACATTGTATCTATTTAATTAAGGCTCAGTATTTGATGCGGAGCAATTTAGGACAAGCGATACAAATTTCATTTTTAGCAGATTTTCATCGTTTGCCACGATGCACGCGTTTGTTTTGCGTTTAACCTGAGAAGTGGCTGGGGACAAACTACCCAATATGTCTCTGTTGATTTTAAGTCAGGCCTATTTACCTGTCCGCTAATTTGAACTTTCCTTTCCGTGCGTTGCAATTACTTAAATATCGTGGCTCAGTGCCATCAGTATAAACATTTACTTCCAAGTACAATTTTAACTTCACCGTCAGTCTGGCTCTTTATTTTTTTTTTCTTTGAGGCTATATTCAGTGAATTTTTTTGCTATTTTGACTGTTTTTAGTGTTTAGTGTTTTTTTGTGACGATTATTGAGATTTGTAAAATGTCACTTAGAATCTTTCAGGGTAAATAATAAAGCATGACATACGGATATTTTGTAAGTTTTGCGCCCTATACCTTACATCAGCGCGATAAGACATCGAACCACAGGCCTAATTATTTTGAACACTGACAAAACTGTATAGAAAAAATATAAAATCAGGTACATTGTCTAATGAAGTGTGTGTACTCAACGTAACCTACGATATTGGCATTTATATCAGTTAAACTGATACAGCGAATATAATTTGTTTTTTTCTCTAAGCCTACCAGCCAGTAACAATTAAACGCATATAGTTTAAACTTTGCATGCAATAGTTAGTTATTATTGTATGTATTCCGGGATATCTCGGGGTTAACGTTTTTATTAAGATGGACTTTTCTATTCTCAGCAAGCAATTTCTTTAATGATAGAACAATAATTACCCATCAGATAATTGTGTTGGTTCAGTTACCGTCATAATAATTAGAATTTATAATCATTAAAACTAATTCGAACACTCAGTTTGGTTTTTACATTTAATAACAGGATTGTTATGTGGAAATGTTTGAGATATGAATGGGCTTGTTTGGTCTTCCTTTCCGTGCTGAATTTATGCGCCCTTACGAGCTCACCTCTCCCGCTCCCGTCTTAGTTCCTTTGTATTTTTTGGTAACTGGAATATCGAGAACCTCGCTAGCTGAAACCTGCCCCGAGATGTTGAGCAATATATTTTTTATTATTTAATTTTTACAGTCTCTGAACGTTTGCTTATACGAACCGATACTATTTTGTTTTTATGGTAATTTCCGGCTTAATACATTTATTCTTAGTGTTTAACCCTTTATTGGCTACTGGTATCAAGAATTTTTTTTATCAGTGTCAGTGATTAACAGTTTAACGGATTACTAAGGATCGTGGCCTTAAAGAGATAAGCTTAATGTTATTGTTAATTTTTCTTTCACGTTGATTTTTTACAGACATTCTTATCAATGAAGAAAACATTATTAAAAACTAACAGTTACAGACGTTTTAAAAAGCAAACAATATGCTGAATTTGCTTGTGATTTATCCAAAGCGCCTTCTCTCGTTCCAGATGCCATTGACATCCCGTGCAGCTCTGGTTTTATCGGGACCTCCTTCATTTACCTTTGGCCAATCGAAAGGATAATTTAGACAGAGTGTCAATGGCTGCGTGCACTAGCCAGCATTATCTCGTTATCATGTAAAATAATAAGATATTCAAAGCGTCTCTGCTGTCTATTTATTGTTTGGTTACTCATCCAGAAATTTTAATACTTTCTCTGGGGCCAGAGACTCATAATAAAATATAGATCCATATATCAAACCTTTAACTTGAGGCTATCATTGTGAGCCAAATATGGTGCTCCCATTTCTTCGTGTCAGTTTATTAACTTAACTCTGCGAGGATGTGTGTGGGCAGCGTGTGATTTCAATGAAAATGTGAAGTCTTTAATCCGCATCTGAAACTGCAATCCCAACAGTAATTCCATAATAACGTTATATGAGTTTTGGACATAACTAAAGACGAATTGCACTTTGCTGTTTTCTAAAAGAAACCTTTTTTTCTGATCCCTGTGACTGATTCCTTTCAGAAAGCGAATACAGAGGAAGGTCCCTGTCGGAGCCTGGTCCTGCCGTTTAACCTGCTGTAGGAAGAGTTAGCAGGTCACGTGACTGCGGCGATGGAGTCAAAACAGCGCTGCTAATTTGTGCGAATGTTACACACGTGACTGTATTGACTGAAATGTTGGCTTTGTTTTTCAGTATATGCTGGTCTACGAGTTAAAATAATCCCGCTAGACTGCACAACACAGGAATTATATGAAGGTACCATGGTACCCTTATAGACGTTAGGCCCAGTCATACTGGAGATTGATGGACATAGATGGAACTCTTGTGTTCTGTAGGTAAAACGTTCCGTCTCCTTTGCTCACGTGGTTCCACTTTGTTTGATGTGTCTTGCGTGGGGTTTGTCAGTAGGACTGTTCAGCACGTTACCTAGAAACACCTCCTACTTTGTGGAGATCCAGTCCTTGCAGATTCAGGGATTAGCTGATGCACCGTGTGAAATTATCCGCATGCATGGCTGTCACGGGCATGACATCTGGGGGCTGCTGAGGCGGCGTGGGCGGGCCAGGCGGAAGGTTGCATAGGCGCATTAGCTGGCGTCGTAAAATACAAATAAATAAATAATGAATGAATGAACTGAACTGAAGCTGCTTAAAAGCCAGATTTTTCAGACAAATCCCCAAAATCGTGAAGGATCAGGAAGACGCGGTGGCCTGAAGTGATGTCAAATGGCAAATTCTGGACGAGAAACGCGCACGAAGCATCGCAGCTGCAGATAAAGCCGACATGAGTGGGACCCGTTTTATTAGCAAAGGCACTGAGACGCTGGTGCCCTTGTACTAGTGGCCGTGATCCATTCACACCCAGATGAAGGTTAACCAAGGTGCAGCGTGAAATATAGACCATCTTGTGCAAAACCACAATGTTGCAGTTTAATTAAAAGAATTAATTAAAGTGGTAGCCCATCCAAGATAATTAGTATGCGTAATTTATGTTATGCTTAATGCATAGTGGCAGTGGTTTGAATAATAAAGTCGACTTAACCTTAAGTAGGTAGAGACGGAATGGGCAGGAACTTATTATTTATTATGTTTTTATAGTTTGTCTTACGTCAAGGGGGTAGAGATCACTTTGGATAAATTTTGTGGGGTTTTGGCTTTCAGTAAACGAAAAAAAAGGCCTTATTGACATTGTTACTTGTGCAGCCATGAGACCATTCTATTGCAATATATGTGTCTCTCACATCCATTTGGAGAGAAATTTATTCCTTGCTTTCGGATAAGTAAAAAGTTTTTACTGTTAAGA